ATTAGAATGAAGTGTTGATTTCAGTGCTTTCAACTCCATGCAAGTTCAGGCTGATTCTGGCCTCTGATTGTGGGATTGGGGCCTGAGTTGTTAAGCATACAACACTCTGGGTGTCTTTTGCCAGCCTGAGCTTGTCTCCCTGACCTTGGACATCTCTCTCAATTGTCCCTCACCCAGTTGCTGTAGGATTTTAACACTGGGAGTTCTGAGATAAAGCCAATTCTTGGCTGCTCTGAGTTTAAAATGGCATTTGACCAAACACCTTCTCCAGGGACACGGCAGTCGCTTGGACTGGAGTCACTCACTAGCTGTCTAGTGCATAACATCCACTGCTCTGATCCACTGGTGCATTTCTCCCTGGAGTCCTTGGAAGCCACCTGCCCTCGGTGTGTCTGTGTAGATTTGATCCATCTCTCTCACACCACAACTGGGAACTGGGAAGAATGTGCAGATTGTTCTCCCCTTCCTCTGCATTGATGTTTATCTCTTCATTTTCTCTGTTTACTTCAATTTCCCTTTTACATCCTTCCTGGTGATGTAGGAGAATAAAACTTCTAACCTACTACATGTCTGGTACGAGTTTGTGTTCTAAAATCAAAGAATGAATTTTAGGAACAATGGAGGTTAAGAGTAGAAATATTTATTGAGAGAAAAAAGCTTCTGTCTGAGAGAGAGACAGAAAGGGTCCTGAGCAGGTTGCCAAAGATTCTGTATTTTCTCAGGAGTTTTATAGAGTAAAATCATGAGGTGAGGTGGGTCTAAAATTGTGAAAAACTGGAAACTCGAAAGGTAGACAGGCATGAGGTGGTACAGAGCTATGTTTAGCCAGTAAGATTAATTGTTCAGGTAAAGTTGAGCAAATCAGGGACAAATGGGGAAGTGAGTCACATTAGTGACTCTTCCTCTAGGGAGTTGGGATAGTGGTCCTTGGCTTCTCAAGGTGATCCAGATTTAATCCCGAAGGATTGTACTTAAGGGTGTGGCTGCATTTGTTTTACCTTCTGTCCTGAGATCTGGCGGGAAGCAGGAGGTGTGTCTCTCCTCCAAGGTCATCAGACTTCCAGACCTCTGTGCTGGCTTCTTCCAGGACCTACCTCTGTCTGATTGCCTATAATATTTCTAAATAGCTCAGCTACCTGTAACACTAGTACCCAGCAATCCAGTTTCTTCCTTCTGTTCTTCCTCAAGTTAGTACTTCCAGTGTCCGAATTCTGTATCTTGAAGCCGTTGGCTTTTTGCTGCATAGCACTCTGGCATCTTCCTCCAGAGTCTTTCATCTAAGCCTGAGTAAGATTCTTTAAGAAGAGTGATTGTGGAGCATCCATACAATGGGATAATATATTTCAGTTAAAAGCAAGCAACTACTGAAAGATGCAACAAACTTGGATGGACCTCAAGAGTTTTACTGAGCGAAAAAGCCACTCTCAAAAGGTCATCCACTGTGTAATTCCATTTAAATAATACTCTTAAAATAACATGATTATAATAAAATAGAAGGGAATTGTGATTGCTTGGGAGTGGGGTTTATGGAGTAAAGGACTGGAAATAATGACTACAAAGAGGTAGGATAAGGACATTTCTTGTAATAAAATAGTTCTGCATTTTGAATACTGTGCTGGCTATACGAGTCTACACATATGTAATAACAATTGACTGGAGTCACTGTTGCTGTAGTGACAGAATCTGCTGCTGCGTTCCACTGGTTTATTCCACTAACATTGTAGCAATAGTAGTCTTCTGTTTTTGGTATTATACTCTAGTCATATCAGAGGTAAGCAATGGAGAGACCAGATGAAGGGTACCTAGAATCTCTTTGTATTATCTTTGCAACTTTCTGTGAATTTCTAATTTCATCCAAATAAGCTACTTACCATTTTTTAAAAAAAGGAATGAACTCTTTATAAACACAGAAACATATAAGCAAATAATTATACTTGATGGAAGGAGCCAGTCAGAAAAGAATATGAAAGAGAAATAAATTGAATCACATCAAAAGTAAAAACTTTGTCCTGTAAATAATACTGTAAAGAAAGTAAAGATAACCTATATGATGTGAAAAAGTATTTGCACAACATTATATCTGAAAAGGATTTGTATCGAGACATGTGAATAGCTCTTAAAACTCAGTAATAAAAAGACAACTCATCTGAATGATGGACAAACACTTGGATGCATATTTCTTCCAGGAAGATATACAAACTAAACATGGGGAAAGGATGCTCTATGTTTTAGCCATCATAGAAATGCAAACCCAAACTTTGATGAGATAGCAAGTCACACTCATTAGGATTATGACAGTCAAAATGTGCTAAGGATGTGGAGCCATGGAAACCCTTATATACTGTTGATAACATAAAAAGCTGTGGCTATTGTGGACACCAGTTTGGCAGTGTTTCATCATGTTAAAGCAGTTGCTACATGACATAGCTGTTACTTTCATAGTTACATGTATCCAAAAGAATATGAAATACATTCACACAAAAACTTTTACTTGAATGTTTATTGTAGCGTTATTCACAATAGCCAAAAAGAAAACAAAAAATCCAAAACTCATCAACTGACAAGTAGATAAATGAAGCATGGGCTATCCATACAACAGAGTATTATTTAGTGATAAAAAGGAATGTTGCACTGATACATGCTGCAGTGTGAAAGAAGCTAATCACAGAAGAGCACATGTTACATGATTTTTATTTATATGAGATGCCAGAATATGTAAATCTAACAAGACAGAAAGGAGATTAGCAGTTGCCTGGGGATAAGGATTGGGAGATGCAGCAGAATGACTGAAAATGTATATAGGATTGAGGCCGAATATTAGAATTTGGCAGGCTGACCGGGAAAGTAAGCATTAACTGTTAATTACAAAATTCCAGGACACGTACACAGAGCAGTTCCCAAAGCCCTGGAATGTGGACTTCTCTTGTAAACATGAGCAGTTTTAGATAGGATGGCCTAGACCCGACTCCATCCTGAAGAGTGAGGGCTGTGTGCTACTCTGTTCTTTCACAGTAATCTACTCTTAGGCTATAGAGTATGCTTCTTTTCCTACTTTTACTTATTCAAACTAGATTTGTAGGGCACATTTCTTTTCCTATGTTTAATAAATGTAAAACCTTGCTACCTTTTGTGCTTCTCTTGATCAGTTCTCTGTAGGACAGAAAGAACCTAGAAACTGCCTGTAAAAAGGAGATTCCAGCACTCCAAAATCCATTAACAGAATTTCTTATGAGGCAAAGAGATGAAAATATTTTAACCTTGGATTACAGTAATGGTTGTAAAAGTTTGTGACTATACTAAAAAAATTGAATTTTATACTTTAAATGGGTGCATTTTGTGGTGTATGAATTATATCTTAAAGCTGCGAAAAAGAGCACATATCTCTAATCCCAGTGCTCTGGAAGGCTAAGACAGGAGGATCATAAATTTGAGCCCAGACTGTGTAAATATCAGCTTAGCAAGACCCTGTCTCAAAACAAAAATTAAAAAATAAAAATGAAAATGGAGCTCGGTTCATAGAGTTTGGGATGAATTCCCAATATTGCCAAGAAAAGATAATAATATACTATATACTATGGCTTCCACATAATCAAAGCTCTGGAAAATGCAGGCTAATTTGTACATAGTGTCAGAAAACAGACCTGTGGTTGCTTGGGGGTGGTGGGAGGAGGGTTGGAGGAGAAGGAAAGAGAAATTACCAAAGACATGGCAACACTTGTAGGATAGTGCATGAATTCACTGTCTTGATTGTGGTGATGGCTTTATGGGAGACAAAGTTGATCAAATTATGTAAAGCATGAGTAGTTTGTATATAAAATGTCACTCATTTTAAGAAAGCAAAAGCATTCACAACTTTAATAAACAATCCTGGGGCTTACAATGGCAAGGAAAAAAATGTCTCCAGCCTTCAAGCAGCATTGCATAGTCTGTTGGAACAGGCCAAGAAAGAAGTGCAGTGGTGTACTATGAGCTTTGTAGAAAAGTGCCTGATAAGTCACAGTCACCAGCTTGGTGATAGATGGAGAGTAAAGGGTGTTGGGACAGCTTCCTGGAAACAGTGGCTCTTGAACTCAGCACTTAAGGGCAAATGGATGCATTCTGTGGTGTATAAATTCTGTCTTAGTAAAGCTTCCAAAAACAGCCAAGCAGGATGGTACACACCTTAGGCATACATGACACCCTACTGGAAGTTAGAGACAGAAGATAGAGTTTGTGATGATAGAATAGTCCTCTTTCCTGACATTGACCTAGGAGAAACAGTAGTGACACTGTGAGTAGTTGTTACATCTCTGAGCTCAGAAGGTGCCTCATTTTATTCTCACTGTGTCAAAGGCATTCTTTTTCCCCAGGAACCATACTGTTGTATTAACAGTAAGTGCAAAACAAGGATTTGACAATAAGTGCAAAACAAGGTTATAACAACCTTCGTTGCCTTCTGCAAGCTTGCTATTATTTAATTATCATGCTTGTGTATTCGAGGTCTGTCCTTCCTGCTGCATTGTTCTGTGAGTTCCACAACTGAGTGTCCTGTTGACTAGCCTGTCCTCTGTAGGTAGCATTTGCTTAGCACATAGCAGAGCTTGATAACGTTCATTTGCTAATAGGTTTGGATTTGTACTGGTGTGAAGTGCATAGGCATATATTTGATGGCTGACCTCAGGCATGGCTCTAATTGTTTTGTAAGAAGTAGAAAGTAAAACAGTACAGCTGCCAGCACCCTTCCCTAACATACATCAGTGTCTGAGCTCTGGCCTAGTTGGGCCAGCTTTCATCCATCCCAGCCCCACCTCCCATATTCAAGCTCATGGCCTGTTGTTAGAGACTCTTCTGGGTCCACTGCCCAAAAGCTCTTGATATAAAGTTCTCCTGAGAAGACAGTCTGTACCAGAAGGGGCAACTCTGACCACTGGCCTGCTCTGATCAAGTTGAGCATTCTGGGATCCTGGCTTCGGGACCACTCATATATTGTTTCTTCTCCTGCTCTTCCTCCTCACCTCTAGCACTTCTGTATGCCACCATCTTTGGGAATGTGACAACCATTTTCCAACAGATGTACGCCAACACCAACAGGTACCATGAGATGCTCAACAGCGTTCGGGACTTTCTAAAGCTCTACCAGGTACCCAAAGGCCTGAGTGAGCGAGTCATGGACTACATTGTGTCCACTTGGTCTATGTCCAGAGGCATCGACACTGAGAAGGTAAGGAGTGCAAGGAGCTTGGATAAATCACTTGTCTCTCCGCTTTCCTTAAGCTGGGACTGAGGCTCTTAGACTCTGCTGGGCTCAGAACTCATGGGGGTAGTTTTATATTCCCAATCCCTTCCTCCAGAGGTTTTAATTGCTTTCCAGATTGGCCTTACACAAAGACCAGTAATTAGGAGCCTATTATTTGAGAAATTGGAAAAAGCAAAAGTGTCTCCTGGAGAAGAAGGGACTTGGAAATCTAAATGTCTAGGACAGAATTTCCCAGACCTGGACAATGATAAGAATCAGGGGGTGACAGAGGTGATTGGTTATTACTAATTTTTCCCTTTGCTCCAGATCCAAGATGGCACAACATGTCTGATCTTGTCTTTATTCAGTTTTTTCACATTTTGTTCATTGTGGGGTTTTGCATGCCCTTTGATTTAAAAAAATATGTTGTATGATATGCTTTATCATGATACCGAGTTTCTCTGTCATCCCCTTATACTGTGTTCTCAAGGCTCTTGCCTCAGTGATCTCCCCCAGGATTCAGTTCTGGTAATAGTCCCAGCCATCATCCCAGATCTCTGACAGGAGGAATGAGGAAGGTAATGGGCAGGGACTCTAGCCATGTTCAGGTGGTCTCACTCATCAAACAGCAGCAGAGGAAGGGTTGTGTGTTAGTCAGCAATTGTCTTAGATCTGTAGGCATCCTTGTTTCCACTTGTAAGTGAAGAACATGATAAATTCCTCCTGTTCTCTAACACTTGTATTATTTCGGATGCATTTCAATAAACTGCAGAACATTTGTGATTCTAGGAAGAATGGAAATACAGTGGACTTTGTATTATTTATGAATTATCTTCTATATATACTTTCTAAAAGTTAAATTTTAAGCCCAACTTTTTCTGTACTTCTTGTTTTTTCCAAACCTGCTTTATTACTAATCTGTAAATACTTATGGCATACTGAATCCTTTCACTTTTAGAATTAGGAAAAGAGAAAGGTAACACTTGTACAAGGCACATTCACATCCATACTCAGCAGTCTGGTGTCAGTTCTACATATTCCTGTTTTCCTTTTTTAGAATGGGGCGTTGAGAGTTACCTGCTTACAAAGAAATATTGAGCTGCATTTAACTGATCCTCAACTTTGAAGAAACATTGCTTTGTTGTTGTTGGCTCTCAGCTGTGATAACCATGACACATCTCCACAGCATCAGCTGCCATTTCTTGAGCATGCGTGAAGAATATTGTGCTTTTCTTAGGGTTCCCCTATGGCTGTCCTTTGTTAGGGCTTCACAACAGTATGAGAGGGAGTTGCTGCCATCTTTCCTGAAGGGATGAGGAAAAGAGTGAAATTCATGTCACTAACTGCCCTGGTCATAGAGTAAAGAATGACAAAGCCAAGATTTGAATTCTGTTTTTATGTAACTTCAAAATTTGTGCCCCACCCCACCACCTTTTAAGAGATTTAAAAGCTGTGCTGGAGGAAGAAAGCCCAGCCAAATGAAAACAGCAGGGAATCGCTGGGCTGCACTGGCTCTGGCTTTGCTTGCTACCTGCCCTGGCTGTGCCTATTGTTTCTGCTGTGCTCTCTCATCAGTGGCTGTAGGTTCTTTGAATTCCTAGCAGCTGCTGGAGTGGAAAGGAACTTTGATCCTTGCCCTGGAGCTCCTTTTCCCAGGCACTGAGATGCTTTCATAAATCTGGTTGCCTGGAAAGAATCCTTTCTCTGTCCTCACTGTAACGCTGGCTGGGCACCTGCCATGGGAAACAGCATAGTCAGCATTTGTCCTCCCACCCTTTCCTGCCTCCCACAAGGCATTGGGATTTCCCCCAGTTCCTGGTCCAAATGAAAGAGAGAATCATCAAAGATACAACTGTAGTAACTCCCTACAGAGCTCTCCCTAGCCAGGATTGCTGCTTCTCTCAGCAGGGACCATGGCAGACAGCTGCTGGAGAGAGAACCAGTCTTGAAGCCCCATGTCTCTCCCTGGTGTCCACTTCTCTCCATTTTAAGTCATAGTGGTCAGTGATGCCCAAGGAAGCCAGAGAGTGGGTGTGGTAGTACAAAGAAACCAGAGTGGGCTCTATTGATTTTACCAGTAATCAGCTAGTAACGTTGACCACTCACCTGTCTCTCTGCACCTAAGATTTCAAGTCTGCAGCACATGCAAACTGGATGAACTTCAAGACCAGATGACCTTTTCTAAAGTCCCCTTGGCTATAAAGCTCCCCTTGGGTCATCTCTTGCTGCTGCTGCTGCTGCTATCACAGCATCAAAGATTGGAAGTTACAGACACTACACTCACTTATGCCGAGAATTGTGCCAGGCTTTCTATGCAATAGCTCGTGAAATCCTACACATGGGTTCAAAAAGTGAAAACTTGACTAAGTACAATATTGCTGCAAGTTCACATCTCCAGAGAATGCTAAGGTCAGAAGTAAATGCAGATCTGCCTCATCCTAATGCTAATCTTTTAAACATGATTGTGTCCTGCACAACCAAAAGAGGCTCTAAGTCCATAGCAACATATCCCACTGGCCTGTATGGAGGCCCTTGGGAGTACAAAGATGGTGTCTCTTCAGGGTTAAACAGTAGGGAAGGTAGCGCCAGGAACTTAGAATCAAGACCCCCTGCTCTGAGAGAGGAGCTAAGGGTGCTTCGGTAGACCAGAAAGACAAAAATGCTTAGTGGCTGCAAAGTTTGTGATTCTTCCACTACAGAGTCCCTCACCTTCATGTTATGCTCTATGTGGGCTCTGGGATCAGTGCCTTTAAATAAAACATTGCTCCACACCAAACCCTCAGTCACTAGCAGCCTCTGCCAGCAAAACCCAACTCGGGGAAACCAAATATTTAAAAGTGAAATCACCTGGAGAATAAATGTTGGTCCTGAACATCAGACACAGTTTTGACATGACACACATGTTCCCCAGTCCTTGCAGATCTGCTTAAAGAAAACACAATTAAATCTGCACTTTTGCAGAAGTGTTGTTTGAGTCTTAAGGAGGAAGGTGCTCAGCAAGCATTCTGCCCAAGCCTCAGAATTCTGCATTTCTCTTTGCCTTAGGCAACCAGCCACCCCATGCTCGCTTCCTCATCCTGCAACTCCACAATAAGATGCAGAAGTACAGGAGGAGGGGTCCAGTATTTACTGAGCCTGCTTCTGTGACCAGGCATCGTCCTGGGCAGTGCACTGGTAGACACAATTCCATTTAACCTTCATGGGTTCATATTAGCACTCTTTATTTTACAGGAAAATAACTGAACTATGTAGCAGCGAAGTCTGTGCCACAGAAGGAAGCTGAGGTTTTAATTTTTGGCCTCGGTCCACTGCTCTGCCTCCACACATAGGAGGATGGGGCATCTGAGATGAGGGGATGGCTATTAAGCTAGTAAAGACAAGGTGAGATTTGAACTGGGAGAGGCTAGTGGGTTCCAGGATCCAGGATGAGCTCAAGGTAGGGCAAATGGCTGTGCCAAAGGACAAAGGCAGCATAGAGAAGTACCCAGCAGGGAGGTGCTCCCCAAATACCTTTGATTTTAGGCTTCCTACTTTGTTCACAGACCAGGGTGGGAGAAATGATTACTTTAGAAATACTCCTGCGTTCTCCATAAAAAGTCCACTTGTTCACTTTAAATGTATCCTTTTGTTTTATTTAATGCTTGCTATATACACAACCATGTACTTTTCTTACAAAAATTTTAGTCCAAGGAAAAATCCCTCCCACTAGAAAAGGTGGAGGATTTTTCATTTCTTCAGAAAACAAAACCCCCATGCTCTACAGTTCCCACTTTGCTTTCAAAACATGCAGGTTGAACTAGAAGCTCATTTGTTTTGTGCAACTGCCTATCACAGGAGTTGTTAAGATATAAAGGACCTAAAGTAAAGGGAAAAAACTTTCTAATTTTGTGCTACATTCTGGCTGCGCAACTTTGGACGAGTTATATACCTTCCCTAGGCTTCAGTTTCCTAATCTATAACTGGAATAAATCTGCTACTTACATCATACGATTTAGGCAAACGATGAAATTGGTTCATTCACATTGCATTTTAAAATATAAAAATCACAGCCTTCCTTGACTTTATCTTTCTTTCTATACTGTCCTTACTACTGACCACTAAATTTATTTCTTTTACTTACTATTGATCTGCTTTTACTAGATGATGTTTCACAGGGCAGGAATGTTTGTCTGTTTCTGTTTTTCACCATTGTATCCACAGAGCCTAGTGTGATACTGGTGTGCTGTAAGATATTCAGTAGTAGGCATTCAATGAATGGCTGAGTTTAAAGTGCTGAGCAAAGTAGACACACAGTGAATATTACTTTATGTGCCCCATTCAATGCACTTGCATCAGTCCATCAGCTCCCTTCAATTCATAATGCATTCTGTAGTCTAATGTTATAACTACTCTGCTATAGAACAGTATAATGTATCTTTATTTGTAATTGTAATTTTGTACTTGCTCACAACCAATTTGCTATATATTTTAGAATATCCAGAAGAAAGTATTTTTGAGTGTTCCTAGCACAAAGAAATGATAAAGTTTTGAAGGGGTGGATATGCTGATGGTCCCAATTTGATTATCTGTATGTAGAATGCATAAATTAAAATATCATACTGTTCCCTCCAGTAATACAGTTGTTACATGTCAATGTAAATGGTTTTATTGATTTGCTTATTTATTTATATCATCTAAAGTTGACCATTTCTTATTAGGTCCACCACTAGCACCTAAAAGGACCCCTCACCTATCCCCTGGGTACTGCAAAGTGAGATCCCTGACTCTGTTCTTACCCCCTTCAATCTAGGTTCTCTAACCCCACTCAATAGCCTACCTATAATATCCCCTTAAAGTATAAATAAGCTTATTTGCCTGCTTAAAAATCCTTCAGTGTTTCCCTAACATGGAAGAAAATCAAAAGCTGAAAAGTTCCTTTGAAAAGCATCCTGACTTGTTTGGAATTTTCCCAGGACCTCATCTCCTCTTGCTTCTTCATCATTAATGCTGGCTGTGCTCAGGTCTGTCAGAGCCTTTATGTTTTCAGTCCTACTGGAATGTTCTTTCATGTGGCTCACTCTACCAGACTCCAGGTATCAGCTTAAATGTCACCTCCAGTAGCCTTCCCTGGAGCCCAATCTAAAGCAGTTCCTCTTAACCCTGATTCTCAGACCTGTGTCCTGAGTGTTTTACATGCTGCCTGTCTGTCCCCAGAGTGGCAGCTCTCTAGGAGAGTAACTGGCTTTCTGAGTGTTGCTTCTGCCCCCTGGAATTGTGAAAGATACAGGTTAGAGGCCAAAGGAAGGATTCTTACTCTCTTCTTGTGCTTGGTTAGGTTCTACAGATCTGTCCCAAGGACATGAGAGCTGACATCTGCGTGCACCTGAACCGCAAGGTGTTCAAGGAGCACCCAGCCTTCCGGCTGGCCAGTGATGGCTGCCTGCGGGCCCTGGCGATGGAGTTCCAGACTGTACATTGTGCCCCAGGGGATCTCATCTACCATGCAGGAGAGAGTGTCGACAGCCTCTGCTTCGTGGTCTCGGGCTCCCTGGAGGTAATCCAGGATGATGAGGTAGTGGCCATCCTAGGTAAGTGATGCCCTAATAAATGGATGCCTTCTGGTACCTAGAGTTGACTTAGTAACTAGTCATATTAATGTCACTGCTACCTTCAACTACATATTGCTCCACAGGAAAGGGCCAATTTTTGTCTCCACTCATCCACCCAAAAGATGAATATCTGAGTGCCTATTTTGCTCTAGTTGAAGTTTGAGACAGTTGGAATGTTTCAGTGATAAACATGGGTTTTGTCCTTCAGGGGAACCCAGACTAGAGGAGATAAACAAGTATTTGGATTGCAGCAAAAGGGACATTTACCCACCCATTCCGGTGGAAAGGCTTCAGGGAAAAAATGACCCTCAAGCTGAAATCCCAAAATTGAGAGCAAGTTACCATGGAGAAGAGAAGAAGGGAGAAGCATTTGAAGGGAGAACATTATATGTAAAAGCCTTGCAGAGGGAGACAGAGACATAGACATATCCATTTGGAAACTGCAAGTTACTCAGTGGGTTTGGAGCACAAAACCTGGTAAGAAATGAGGCTAGGGGAGGGAGCTGAGGTAAAAGCACATAAGACCATTACATTTTATTTGGGGCAGTAATGCAGATTTAAAAAAGCAGACAAGAGGCTTGATCGAATATTACTTTATGAAGAAGAGAGTAGTTACTGCTTAGAAATTGTTTGGGGATGGACAGGAAGACCAGGTTGGGACAATTTGATGATGGCCTGAACTAAAACTATGGTGGGAAGATAGAGAGAAACAGGTGGAATTGAGATATTTAAGAAGTAGAATCAACAGAACCTGGTGACAGATTTGCTGTGGGGGAGAAGGAGGAGTCAGCAAGGACTGTAGAATGTATTACTTGCGTAGCAGAGAAACTGGCACACTATCCACAGTTATGGGGAATGGAGGAGGAGAAGTAGGGACATTGGTATGCTGATATTCAGGTCACTGAACATCAGTGATTGTGGAGATATTCATCTGACCTGCTGAAGTAGCTGGAGAATGGCGCTTTTTTGAGGAGAGGGGCTCTCTGAGGTGATAAGCCATCATTGGAAGTATAACCATCATTTATGATCATCTACTCCATGCCAAGAATTTTCTGTAGAGATTCTCATTTAATCCTTGCAGAATCCTCTGAGATGGTTTTATTATCCCCATTTTGAAGATGTAATGGTTGTAGTTTAGAGAGCTTAAGGAAATCCCCTCATGACTGGTGAGGTTCATGGAGTCCCTCTGATTCCCAAACCTGTGCAGTGCCTCATTTTGCCATACTGTAGTCCTAATGATGATGAGTGCCGTACATTAGCCTTGGTGATGCCAGGTACTGCTAGATATTGTAGACGTGTGTTTTATCTTTGACATACAAGTTTTCAGGAAACTGAGGCAGGGAGAGATTAAGTTACATTACAGATACAATTAAGATATGAACCACACAGAGACAAAGGTGCTATATTTTTTAACCACACACTTTGTTCCCACTTGGCTTGGAGTACGTGCTATGCAACTTTCTTCTCACCTCCCTGGTCCCCAACCAGTTTGCCATATTGATTACATTTTGCTCATGTTAGTCCCAAGATGATTTGTATTCCTTCAGCATTTGCTGACACATGGTCAGAGAGGAACTGTAATAAAGGCTTGGTTGGGGTGGAAACCAAAGTGTTTGCTGACCTAAGTGCTCTGGGTTTCTTGACATCCAGGGAGCACTGCAGCCCAGTTCCTCTGCTCCTTTGCTCCTAATCACAGAGAAGTGGGATTTGACTGCATGTGAGGAACAGGGCTCAGGAAAATCATAAAGACAGCGCTGTAGTGTATCTGAAGGGAAAGGGTTACTCTTGCTTCTGCTCATTGGTGCCCTTGAAAAAGAGAGCTTTTATTTGATAACAGCTAAAGAATGTTTGCCCGGCTGAGACCAGTGAGTGATTCTTGAATTTGAATTTGAGTTCATCCTGTGGTGCAAGGCATCCATTTTTCCACTGATAATTCTCCACATGGTTTTCTCATGAGTCCAACCTGGGGACCAGCACATCTGCCTTTGTGTGTGTGTGTGTGTGTGTGTGTGTGTGTGTGTGTATACGAGGAATCAAACTCACGACTTTGTGCTTACCAGTCAAACACTTATGTCACCATCCCTGGCCCACATCTGCCTTTCAAGACCTGCCTTAAACATGTAACTATGAAGAACTGCTTTGGACCCTTAAGCATGGAGGTATAATGGCATGGAAGAGATGTAAAGACAACAAGTGACTCCTTCCTCCACCTCCTCGTTTCCTTCAGCCTATGTTCTTGTGGGGAAGTAACCGAGCTTTGACTCAGTATTGACTGACTTGGTCACTTGGCTGCTTCTCCAAGTTCAGATAGAGAGAAGCAGGTGGAATTGAGATATTTAAGAAGTAGAATCAACAGAACCTGGTGACAGATTTGCTGTGGGGGAGAAGGAGGAGTCAGCAAGGACTGTAGAATGTATTACTTGGGTAGCAGAGAAGCTGGCACACCATCCACAGTTATAGGGAATGGAGGAGGAGAGGTAGGGACATTGGTATGCTGATATTCAGGTCACTGAGACAGAAGAATACAAGTTTGATGGGACTTCAAAACAAGATGATACTAAATCAGCACTAGCTATTATAATGTCTTGTTTTCTCCAAAATAGCTGTTCCTACCATCCAATCTTCTCTGCCTTATTTCTGTTGAGCTCTTTTTCTATCGTTTGTTGTCAGTTTGTCTTCTTCATTTCACTTTCTGCTCTATTCATTGTGGCCTCTCTGCCACTATTATTCTGGAATCTTGGTTTTTCCTTTTTTAAAATATCCTGCAGTATTCTCTGTAGAATTGAATTGGTGGTTGCAAATTCCTGTAGTTCTTCTTTATCCTGGAAGCACCTTGTTTTTCCATCATTTCTAGGGACAGTTGTGCAGGATATATCAATCTTGGCTGGAGGTTATTATCTTTCAAAGCTTGAATTATTTCCCCCCACGCTCTTTGTGATTTGATGGTTTGTGCCAAGAAGTCTGCTGTAATTCTGATGGGTGTTCCCTTGTAAGTGATCTGTTTCTTGTCTCTGACAGCTTTTAGTATTCTGTTCTTATATTGGGTTTCTGGAATTTTGATTATTATATGCCTGGGTGTAGCTCTGTTTGGGTTGTAGGTGGCTGGGGTCCTGTATGCCTCACACATCTGAGTATCTTTACCTTTTGCTAAATTAGGGAAATTCTCTTGGATTATTTCTGTGAATAGCTTTTGTAGTTCATTTGTTTGTTTCCCTACTTCTTCATTTATGTTCTTAATTCTTAGGTTGTAGATCCTCTTATCATATTCTAGCCTTTGTATTATTGCTGTTTGTTTTCTTGTTATTTCTAAGAAGTTTTTCATTTCATGCTCCCATATTACAAATCTGCCCTCCAGTTCAGATAATCTATCCTTAGTTTCTTTCAAGCTATTATGCCAGTTTTCAATAGAGTTTTTAGTTTCCTGGTAATTTCTTTGAACCTGCTTCACGTAGTCTATGTTTTCTCTATTTTCTCCATCAAACAATTCTCCCCTTTTTTTCTGTTCTTCCATTCCACCATCTGTTTTTTCTTGGGAGGTGCTTAGCATTTCTCTAACTATTCTACTTATATCTTGCTTCAGGTCATTAATAACTTCATTCCTGAACTTTTCAATGAGGCTATGGAGATAGCACTTTATGTCTGTTGGTGACATGTCTGATATTGCATGTTTCTCAGGATTGGGGGCCAAGGACCCTTTCTTGTTGCTCCCTCTTCCCATATTTTTTGTTCCTTTTATACAAGTATATATAGGAGGCCCAGTTTCTTTCTTTGGCAGTTACAGTTTGTCTGAATTGTGCCGGCTAGGTGTTCCTGCCCACTGCAGTGTACTAGGGAGACACAGACCTCAGCAGCCTATGCTGGGCCCGCCCCTCCACGTCAACCTACAGAAGGCTTCACTGCTAGGGTGCACCTCCAGGAGCTGGGGCCTGGTTTGGACTAGCCTATTGGGTCTTAATCAGCAGTGTCATGCAGGCCAGGCACTCCCCATGAATCCCGCTTGAGAGGGGAATATGTGACTGAAGTTACAGCAGCATCCTGTTCCAGCTAGTCTGCCAGGTCCCAGTATGTCCTTTGCTGAAGCCTCCTACACTATGGAAGGGTCCCCGATCCACTCACTCACCGCAGGTCGATGCAAGGCTCCCAGCCAGTCCCGCTCTCGACTCCATTCACTGCTTCCCACTCTCAGAGCTTTCGTGCCTCTCTCCTTACCGTGCCAATTGGGACACAGCAGCGGCTGCAGGAAATTCAAATCGCAGCTTCCAGTGGCGCAGGGTCCAGCTTCTGCACTGAGACCTTATCTGTTCCTGTTATATCATCGGGATTGTGTTTCCAGTTGGTTTCTCTTAGTTTAGTTCATTCCTGTATCTCCCCTTGCTTAGGGTTTTTTGCCCGGCACCATTCCTGGATTTTAAGTGCAGTTTCTCAGAGAGCCTCCAAAGCTGCTGCTATCTATCTACCATGTTCTCCCAGAAGTCCAAACTTAATTTTTTTGTCATTGTTCTATTCTGTTTTTTAAATTTTGGAGAGCAACCCAGAATTCTTTGGCCAAGCTGCCTGGAGCACTGCAAGGAGTCTGGGATCTATAGTCACAGATGTAATTGTGGCCTTGCAGAAGTTACTCTGATTGGTCAGGAGTCTTCAGAGCCTTCTCATTTTCTGCTGCATTAATTGCATTACTGAGCTCCCTCTCCTGTGTGTTGAGTCCTATTGATTGCATAGCTCAGCATCAAGCACATAGCCCAGCACACACAGTACACCCAGGTTGTTTACCGAATGGGTTGATATGAATGGCAAATAGTGTGCTGGGAAAGGCTGGGCTCAGAATAAGTGTTTGGACATCATCTTGTGAAAAGAAGCTAGAGAGAGAAAGGTGAGTGTGGTAAAGATTTGGGTTCCACAAATACAGAATCATGGATGGAAACAAGCTAGGAAGCCCCAAGAATGATACCAGAAGGGAAATGTGGAATGAAAGGCAAAAT